ATGGAATACTACTCAGCAATTAAACACAAGGAAACCATGAAATCTGCAGGCAAATGGTGAGAACTAGAAAAAAGCATCCAGAGTGAGGTGTCCCAGAAGCAAAAAGACACACATGGCATATACTCACTTATAAGTGGATATTAGACATATAAGATAAACATACTAAAATCTGTACACCTAAAGAAGCTAAGGAAGAAGGAGGACCCTGGTAAGATGATCAATCCCCACTCAGAAAAGTAAACAGGACAGACAGCAGAAGAAGGAGAAAACAGGGAACGGGACAGAAGCCTACCATAGAGAGCTTCTGAAAGACTCTACCCAGCAGGGTATCAAAGCAGATGCTGAGACTCATAGCCAAACTCTGAACAGAGTGGAGAGAATCTTATGAAAGAAGCAGGAGATAGTAAGACATGGAAAGGACAGGAGCGCCACAAGGAGAGCAACAGAACCAAGGAATCTGGGCACAGGGGTCTTTTCTGAGACTAATAATCCAACCAAGGACCATGCATGGAGATAACCTAGAACCCCTGCACAGATGTAGCCCATGGCAGCTCAGTATCAAAGTGGGTGCCCTAGTATCTAGAACGGGGGCTATCTCTGACATGAACTCAGTGACTGGCTCTTTGATCACCTCCTCCCGAGGGTGGAGCATCCTTACCAGGCCACAGAGGAAGACATTGCAGCCACTCCTGATGAGACCTGGTAGGCTAGGGTCAGAGGGAAGGGGAGGAGGATCTCCCCTATCAGTGGACTTGGGGAGAGGCATGGAGGAGATGAGGGAGGGAGGGTGAGATTGGGAGGGGATGAGGAAGGGGTCAACAGCTAGGATACAAAATGAATCAAACGTAATTAATAAAAATAAATAAATAAATTTAAAAAATTATATTGGCTAATGGAAAAATGTAGGGAAAATAGAAGGGTTTTATTTTGAGTACCTACTGGCTACCAAGAATTTGAAATATAGAAAGGTGTACACATTATTTTTTAGTCAGGGTCTTACCATGTAACACTAGTTGACTTACTATATAGATCAAACTGGGCTAAGATTCATAGAGATCCACAAGTCTCTGCCACGATATTTTTTCAGAGTCTTATTTTTTTATTAACCTATTTATTTACTTTACATCTCCATCACAGCTTCTCTTCATCTTCTCCCTGTCCCTCCCTCTCACCTCACCTCCCCCATTATCTCTCCTCCTTTTTTGAGAATAAAAGGAGGCCTCTCATGGATATCAACCAGCCTTGGCATATCAAGTTGTATAAGGATGAGGCACATCTTCCTCTACTGAGGCAATCCAGTAAGAGAAAAGAGATCCTAAGGCTCCTGCTTTATGAGTCCCAAATGAAGACCCAGCTGTACAACTGTTACATATGCACAGAGGGTCAAGGTTTGTCTTATGCATAGCCTCTGGTTGGCAGTTCAGTCTCTGTGAACACCTGTGGGCCCAGGTTTGTTGATTCTGTCTGTTTTCTTGTGGTGTCCTTGACCCCTCTGGCTGCCTCTATCCTTCCTCCCACCCTTCCACAGGATTCCCCAAGCTCCACTTAACGCTTGGCTGTGGGTCTCTGCACCAGTTTCCATCAGTTGCTGGGTGAAGCCTCTCTGATGACATTTATGCTAGTCTCCTGTCTACAAGTGTAGCAGAATATCATTAATAGCATTGGGGGTGGTCTATCATGGCATTGATCTAAAGCTGGGGCAGTCATTGGTTGGCCCTTTCCTCAAATTCTGTTTCATTTTTTACCCCTGCACATTTGTAGGCAGCAAAAATTGTTGGTCTAAGATTTTGTGGCCAGTGTGGTATTCCAATTCCTCCATTGGAAGTCTTCCCTGGTTACAAGAGACAGTTGGTGAGAAGGAGGAACTGGAGGAGGAAATGTGAAAGGGAGGTACTTGGAAAGGAGCATGGAGAGGAACTTCATACTGGGATGTAAAATTAATTAATTAATTAATGGAAAAAATAAATTATTAGAGTGTTATATTGTAAGCATTTGTACCTGATATGTTTATTCTTTATGAAGATAAGGACTGAGAGAGTTATTATGGTTTACAACATGCTCAACCATAAAGGCATTTTTTAAAATTAGCCTCAGATTTAGAGGCTAATTTTAGATTAGCCTTTTTTCAGATTTAGAGTTCAAATGCCTGAAAGCATAAGTGAGTTTATCCTTTAGGGAGTATGGTAGGGTAGATACAGTATTTTCAATAAGCTAAAATGATTTAATGACAATTTACTTAGATTAATAATCAAATTGAGCATTGCCTAAGAGAAGTTCATAGCAGCTTTATTTGTAATAGCCAGAACTTGGAAACAACCCAGATGTCCATCAACGGAGGAATGGATACAGAAATTGTGGTATTTTTACACAATGAAATACTACTCAGCAATCAAAAAGGAGGAAATCATGAAATTTGCAGGCAAGTGGTGGGATCTAGAAAAGATCATTCTGATTGAAGTATCCCAGAAGGAGAAAGACAAACTTGGTATATACTCGCTTATATAGACCTACAAGATATGGTAAACATAATGAAATCTACACACCTAAAGAAGATAATCAAGAAAGTGGACACAGGCGAAGGTGATTAATCCTCATTTAGAAAGACAAATGGGATGTGCATTGAACTTATGACAGGAGTCTACCACAAAAGGCATCTGAAAGACTCTACCTAGCAGTGTTTCAAAGCAGACACTAAGACTCATAACCAAACCCTCGGCAGAGTGCAGGGAATCATATGAAAGAAGGGAAGTTAATATGATATGGAAAGGATAGGAGCTCTACAAGGACCAAACATATCTGGGCACAGGGTCTTTTCTGAGACTGACACTCAACCAAGGACCATCTATGGATATAACCTAGAACTTCTGCTCGGATGTGGCCCGTGGTAGCTCAGTAACCAAGTAGTTTTCCAAAGTAAGGGGAACACGGACTATTTCTATCAGGATCTCAAGGGCAGGCTGTTTGACCCCCCCCCCCCGGGGAGGAGCAGTCTGTTAGGCCACAGAGGAGGACTTTGCAGCCAGCCCTGAAGATACCTGATAAAACAGGGTCAGATGAAAGGGGAGGAGGTCCTCCCCTATCAGTGGACTTGGAAAGGGGCAGGGAGGAGACCAGGGAGGGAGTGTGGGGTTGGGGAGGGAATGAGGGAGCGGGATACAGCTGGGACACAGAGTTAACAAAATGTAACTAAAAAGAAAAAAAATAATAAAAAAATAATAATTAAAAAAAAGTTACATATTTAAATTGTAATTTCAATAACCTCATATAAATAAATTTAATAATAATTATCAAAAAAAAGAGAAGTTCTCTTAAGTTTTTGGCCAGGAATGTCTAAAAGACCCCCAAAACATCTATCCTGTTATCACCAGAAGTGGAAAGTAAGTTCCTATTACACAAAACACCATGCACTTTAAATCTGGTCCCAGAGTCCTCTGAGCTGGAACTATCCTGAATGTCCCCTTTTAATGCCTAACTTCCATGCTACCAGAGGACACAACATGCAAGCTTCCGGCTGAGAGAAGCAACCAACAATCCCACCCAGCTATGATGTCTATGAGCTGCATCAAAGACCACTGTGACATGATAATGCTAAGAGTGGATTAGTGGCATATATACCTTGGCAGTAATCAACAGCTTTCTAAATGGACTTAAGACCTGCTCAACAAGCAGGAAAATAAGCCTAATGCTGAAAACCTAGTTCACTACTCAGTGCTAATGAAATTATTAATATTGGAGGAGGATCTATAGCCTCTGATTTACTAATCCAGCATAATCCCTAACAAGAATCAGAAAATATTTGTCCTTATGCCCACAAATAACTCTTTACTCCGCATCAAGGAAACTTTTCTTTGCAACAGATAAAGACCACTACAGAAAAACACAACCCCCCCCCAAAAAAAATACAATTATCAAGTTCAATCCCAATGTACACATCTAAAGAAACACTCTCACACCTAAGGCTTGGGGGAGATTGTGCCTACTAGTAATATCAGAAGTTACATTTATAAAGTTTCACCAGTATGAAGCCTAAACTTAAGCTGAACAAGGATGACACCAATGAACACCAATGGAAAAAGCTCACAAGGACTCAACCTACACAAAGAACTACAGGAAACTGAATAATGCTGTGAGGCAACCCTCCCTAGGAAAAAGCACACTAATTAATTGTCCAGTGCCAAACAGTCAGCCCTGAAAATAAAGCTACAAGTAGCACTGCATAGACTCAACAGGTTTTATATATAGGGAATATCTGAGAATTTTAAGTACATTCAAATAAGTATGTGCATGCAGTAACAACTGAGAACAAAAACAAGACCATGAATTTTAAGGAGACCAGGGAGAGATTTAATGACAGTGTTTACAGGGGGGAAAGGGAACAGATGAATAGTGTGGTTAAAATACAGTCTCTAAAATAAAGATAAAATAAGGGAAAGAAAGAAAGAAAAAGAACAGTTAGATGATGATTTAATAAGTTATGTTAGAAAATAATTTACATGATTGTTTGAAATAGACTGGCTAAGCTGAATTTGTAGGCACTCAGTTTTTCTACAGCATTTTGGTATGCTTGACATTTATGAAGACTTGGTTCTGTAGGATTCCCTTAACAATATATATGTTTTTTGATCTGTTCCATCTCTGCAGGCCTTGTGTGCCTGGCTGCCAAAGTGAACATAGTGGACTGCGAAGCTCTCTTTGCCTCTATGTCTTACGGTCTCCTTTCTGGTAACACTAGCATCAGGCATGTCAGTAAGGAAAATCAAGCTTATCATCAGGCACCACCAATGGTAGTGAGGACAGAGCATACACCAATAAGGCCTAAGAATCATAAATATTTCAGTGACTAGACAGCTACTAGAACCAGCAAGCGGAAACTAGGTCTAGCCAGAATTGGATGACATAGCACTGCAGCAGTTGGGATAAGAACACTTTAACCAGCAGTGTAATTCATCTCTAAACAAGTCAGCAATAAGCAAGTATGTCGAAGAGCACACCTCCCTCACGTGCTCTTCTCTAGGAAAGGACTCCTCACAGCATTTCTCCGTTGTCTGTAGTTCTCTGTGTAGGGTTGAGGCCTTTTGAGCTGTTCCCTGTAAAGTGTGCTTTCCTCATAAAGTTTGTCATGTTCATGGGTGTCATCCTTGTTCAGCTCACATTTGGGAGTCCATTGATGAGCCTTGATGAATGTAACTTTTGATGTTACTTGGAGACAAATTAAATTTTAAAACTGACCAGCAAAAAGCAATAAATAACAGAGTGCATATAAGCTTAAATGTAAACTTTGGGTTTTATAGACCCAGAACAGAACATTCATACTTGCATTCTCATAATTTTGAAAGAAAATAAATTGAGGATGGGGCTGAAGAAAGGAAATGTGGTATGTGAAAAGTTTTAAACATGGTAAAAATGTGGTTGTAATTTCAGGATGTAGAGAGATTTGAATGAAGATAAGAACAATGACAATCATGACAGCATATATCATAGATGACATCCTGGAATTTTATAACAAAGAAAAAATATTGAATGTCATTGTGTAAATTGATACCTGTGGGAAATACTGATTTGATAAAAGCAGCTTTGCTGTGCAACTGTGGATGCCAGAGAAGCTTTCAGGAGTCAGAGGACACTGAATTCAGGAACAGTAGGACTTGCCTGTTTACCTCAGATCTTAGGAAATGGAAGCAGAACAATCAAGAGTTCAAGGCCAGATATAGCTATACTGAATCTGAGACCATTCTGGATACATAATAGCATGCCTCAGAAAAAAAGAGAAAGAAAAATAACAATACCTGTGAAGTATATGACAAACGGAGATACCCTGAGGAAAAAGAGGAAGATAAATTTATGCTCAGAGATAAGTTAGCTAAAAGAATCTATTACTTGAAGACCTAGCCAGAAATAATGGCAAATTAAGGCAAAGACACCAGAAGGCTCAAGGTAACCAGCATGAGTAAACAAAGGAGTCACCCATATAAAGCCATGATGCATATCCTCCCCCAAAACCTTTAAAAGTAAACTTTATGTTTGAGAGAGAATCTAGGACACGCTCAAACACGGTTGTCAGTGGGCAAAGTAAAAATATTTGGTTTCATTAACTGAAAATAAAGGTTCCTAAAAATTCCACATTCCACTGAAAGTACCAAACGCTATTATTACCAGACACTGATGTGTTATGCAAGATTCAGACAATGCCCAGAACATCGCTAGGAAAACCATGGAAATTATCATGACTTTATAAATACAGCAAAATGGAATGATGAAATTGTGCAAACTGTCCTATGAAACATATTCAAATGGAATGTGTCTCAAAATATAATTAGCAATATCAGTTGTTCTTGTTTAAATAAAAGATATACTTATTGTAAGTATAACACAATGTTTATTTAATGCCACTGACAGATATTTATCTAATGCACTATAAAGCAAGATTTGGTCTTGTTTCTTGAATCATGCCATACAATAGTGTATTTCCCAAATTTAACCTAGATGTACCACAAAACAATAATATCAGCTGGGCAGTGGTGACACATGCCTTTAATGCCAGCACTCGGGAAACAAAAGGAGGCATATCTCCAAGCTTGAGGCCAAACTGATTAACAGAGAGAGTTCCAGGACAGCTAGGGCCACAGAGAGAAACTTCGTCTCCAAAAAAAAAAAAAAAATGTATCTGATAGTCTAATACTATGAGAGGGCAAATCATGAAGGAGTATAGACAACTTCAGAGCCAACTGGCCTCCTCAAGTTCTGATTCCAGTAGTATGAATTTCCTGACCCTGAATAATTTATTCTAGAATTTTGCATGTGCTTCCTTACCTTTCAATTAAAGATAATAACAAAATGTATCTCCTAGGAATTTGTCAAAATTAAGTGATTAAAAAATACATGGCACAAAGAGTTCTTCAGTCATATTTAATGTAACATTTAATTATTGATATTATCATTTTAAGATAATTATGTATCCCCTACGGTTATTTGGCATGTACCTGTAACAAACCTGGCAGAAATACATACCCTCATAATAATATCTGTTTATATATGAAAGCATGCATATTTGACAAATAAGCTTCATTACAAACAAATCTATGAATATATACAGATGTCTATTTCCAGATCATGGTATCTTACAAAATTAATACAACTTAAGTTTTCATATGTTGCACTGATATTTTTTCTAGTGTTTCAGAGACTATAAAATATACTTCTGATTATTGGTTGATTAAAATGAAACATTACACATCCTTAAGGGGAAATATAATTTCCTGAAGGCCATTGATACAGCGAAGTACTAATTCCTCCTTGCTTTCCCATCATATCTAATGATCTATTGGGCTTCAACAGAATTACCACAGAACAAACCATATAAGAATCAGGAGCCGTAATAGACATACCAATGCTATATATTTTGCTAGCATTTTGAAGTATATGATTCTCTAGATTACAAAAAAAATAAGTTGTTCCAAACTATAACGTAGATCACTTTTGTGAGTTACGGCCTTGTGAAGTGTGGACAAGTTTGACGGGATTAATACAGGCACTTGGGCCAACACTATTAGCTTTTTCAACCAATGTTTTCAATATTCTATTCCATGCAGATTAAAATTAATTTGAAATGAATTTAAATATCACTAATTCCTTAAAAATGTATATTATCTCCAAATACACGTTTCCACTAACCTAAATATTGTAACCAACAATTTCAAGTATTTGTTAATACATACCTATTTTCAATGTCTGTTAACCAACCTTGACATCTTTGGATTTTGGAAATAACCCTGAGTAAGAAACATAGGATCCACCTGCCTCTGTCCCATTGCCAGGAGAAATGTATGAACTAGTAGGACTGTTTCTTGTGCCCTCTCTTGGCCTGTGGTTGTTTTTTTTTTTTTCTGTTTGTTTGTTTAGTCCAATTCCACAATTCCAAGTTGCTGGGATTTCTTTTATCTTACTCTTTATTATACTTTACTATTGTCCCTTAGAAATCTATTTGTTTTCTAGTGAGAGGCAGAAGAGGGATGGATCCAGATAGATGAGAGGTAGGGATGAACTGAGAAAAGAAAACATAATCAGTATGTGTTATGTGAGAAAAATTCTAGTTTCAATAAAAGAAAAAGAAAAATGGTTTTTAAAAATACATACACTATATATAAACCCATATAAGTGATGATATGATTTTTATGTATGTGTATGTAAAATATATGATATATATGTGATGATAATGTGTTATGTGGTTTCCACCTCATCAGACCACGTTTATGGGTGCCTCCTTGATTGAATATTAAAATTACAGATTTGTGTTATAACTAAGAGATACCTTATTGATAAGAAACCAAGTCCCAAGCCTTACCAAGATCCATACAGACACACAGATACAGACAGACAGATATGTATAGACACACACATGCACACACATGCACATTCTTTGTGTGCATGTGTGATCATCTAGGAAGGTGGTATTATGCATTTCTAAGACCCAAAGCAAACAAATTTTTATTTTTCTCAACTGAGTGTGGAGATAGTTATTGCTCCATTTTCTGAAGACAACTGCCAGAACATTTTGTGCTCTGAGATATGGACTTTTGCCAATATCACTCTTCTAAAATGATTTTTGTGACAGTCTCATCCTGGAACAGGCAGAAAGATAGATGAAATAATAAGAATCCATTTACTTGTAGGAACTGTGGTTTTTCTCTTTTCTATTGACTGACATCTGAATTTGAAGGAATTGTGGTTTCCTTTCTCTGTAATAGAGTAAATCTTATTTGTCAAACTGAATTTTCTACATCAAATTTCCCCTATGAATTACAGGCTTTCTTTATGAGGACAGAAAGCTTGAAAGCGTAGAGCTTTCATTCTAATTAAATGTAGCATTATTTGTCATGGGAGCTATAACAATTCAATGCACACATATCCACAATCGTGTGTGCTTATTTGTATATATATATATTTGTGTATATATATACATATATATCCATTTTGTTTATTAATTCATAGAGATCTGGAACTTTTTGCAAAATAATTATAATTATTCTATTTTCTCAGATTTCTCTTGCCCCTGTTCTCTTCCTAACTTACTGACATACATTCTTTCTCTGAAGTTAACTAGTGAATTTATATTGGGCACTAATAAAGATAAGCTGTGAAATAAAAGTCAATGGCTAAAATGATATTTTATTAAAATTTGAGGCTTATCAAGAGAAGTTTCGATTCTTGTGTTTATTGCAATCTGACTTGGAATTTATTAAATCTTTACATTTTGTTCTTTGATATTTTTATATAAATGAAAACTGAAATCTTATATCTAGTCAAAGAACAGATGTTAAATGCTGAGTTAAACTTTGTAAAGAGTCTGAACTGGAATGCACATTTGAATGTATATAAAATTTAAAAACCATTCAGCTGTTACAAAAACAGGAGGAGGAATATTAAAAAGAGAGAGAGGAGGAACAGTACTCAACAAGCTTATCCTAGATTCAGGCAATTAATGCAAGAATCATTCACTGTAAACAGTCATAGAAAGGCAAATAAATAAAATGGTAACAAATACTTGGAATTATAAGTAATATTATAACCTATAGCCTGCAATTATTAGAAACATGCACTAGTGAGAACCTGACACAAACATGTTAGTGCAGGGTTTCAGTCTCAGAAATATAAAGGAATGTGGAGAGTCACTGAAGGAGCATGTGAAGATGTCAGAGCATCAAAAAAGACAATTGGAACACTATATTTTTCCAAGGCCAGAATAGACAAGTAAAATATAACAAATGTGACAACTTGTAATGGAATAAAATCCATATCCATTAAAAATAATATTTTAATCACTCCTTTGAATATATTCTATAGATATTTGCTTCTTTTAATAGAATAGGATAGGATATTTATATGTTTGTGACATGCGCATCTTGTTGCTCAGGTTCAAGGTGATCTTAGAAACCTGTCGGTAGTCATTGTAAGTGTGGACCACGGTGGGAAAATGTCAGTGTCACATGTAGTTTTCAGAAACACCGACACAATATCCCCTGGCCAGTAAAGAGTAGGCTTTGCGGTTGAGGAAGCCCACGCGAATTGTTTGCATACGGTAACCTTGAGAACTGTGCTGTACTCTCCGGACAGTATCTTTTCTCATCCAAACCCCTTCAGAGGTACTCAACAAGTCTTTCTGAAAGACTTTCATAGTTCTTTCTGAAATTAAAATTAAAACAAACTCTGATTTTGGTATCTAGCCTTTCACTCTGCCAAGGCCTTGAATAGATGGATGAGGCCACTCAGTGTTGAGAAAGAAAGCCTGTTTTACTCAAGCAATTCAAATGCCAGTCCCATCCAGGAAGGAAAAAAACCCTTCACAGACATGCCCATAAATAATGTGTAGCCAAATACGTAGATGTCTTGTGCCTATGTCATGTGCACATAAAATACTCTATTGCATTGCTCCATCAAGCCTTGCCAAAGGGGACAAATCATTTTCAATGTCAAATGAAACTTAAGTGAGATTATAGGACATATAAAGTAAATTAGATAAAATTGCATGCATGTGACTAAAGCCTTAGAAAGTTAACATACATTACAATTTTACTTAATCACAGATTAACCTGCTTTTCACATAGATCTAAGGTATTAACCACGGGAGAAACTGGGTATATATGTATATATGTGTATGAACGTATGTATGCATGTATGAATCTGTAATAGCTGTATTTTCTTCTGTAAATATGCAGAGTTCTAAATAATGCACATTAAAGTTAAATGATATATTGAAATTCAGTTTCAGAGGGTTCCTAGTCACATTTTGTATATGCGATAATTACATACTTGTAATGG